AAAGATGTATTTTATGATGCATGAAGATGAAATTGCATTTCTACACACACATTAAACGAAAACCCTTGCTGGAAATTTTGAAAATTTATTTGATTGTAAACTTGACAGGAAAATCTTCTTAAGTCAATGGTGTTAATTTCATTGGCTTATTGCCTTATATGGCGGGGTTGAAAATCGCAGAATCTTAGAAGATATCAAAGTTAATACATATTGTTTATAATATTGTGATGGGAAAAGCCACATCAATATTAGTTGGGAATTGTAAAGTGGTTATTTTATAAGTTTGGAATTATATTAGATATTTATTATAATTTATATATTCATACCCTCAGCCATATGGTTAGAGGGGGGTATATATCATTTAATACGGCCAAAACGTGCCTCATCGAAATCGTTTTTAGACGCTAGGTCTCTTTGGACCAAATCCCTTTTAGGATATTTGGAGTCGATCTAGGGGTATCCGCCCGTCTGTCCTCCTGTTTGGTTGGTGCGCACCATAACTCTCGATGGAAGTATCCGATTTGATCCAAACTTGGTACATGGTAATATTATTGTCAAACTTAGATCGATTTCGGAGATGGGCAATATCGGTCTACTCCTTCTGGCAACTCCCCCATAAGAGGTCGAGATTTTCCAAAAAATATTTTACTTCACAGAAAGAGAAAGGATTCTCCGATTTTGCTCCAAACTTGGCAAATCCTAATATTTGCGTTAGTGCTAGGTCAGGTGCGAAAATGGACCATTTGGTCAAAATTTTGAATAATTATAATTCTTATAAAATGGGATGTAAGAGTCCGATTGTCTTTAAATTACACACATACCCCTTCTGGTGCATCCCCAACAAAAGGTCGGAATTTTCAAAAAATATTTTTTCCACAGAAAAAGAGAAATGATAATCCGATTTTGTTCCAACTTTGCAAGGATTATAATTTGCGTTAGTGCTAGGTCAGGTGCGAAAATGGAAAATATCGGTCCACTCCTTCTAGTACCTCGTCCACAGAGGGTCAAAATTTGTAATAGTTATAACTCCTATAAAATGTGAAGTAAGAGCCTGATTGTATTCGAATTTCACACATCTCAATATTTTTATTAACCCAAAGTCTGGCGTTAAAATGGAATATATCGGTCCAATTCTTCTGGTACCTCCTCCACAAAAGGTCGATATAAAAAAAAATATTTTTTCTGCACAGAAAGAGAAAGGATTATCCGATTTTGCCCCATCTTTGCAAAACCTTATATTTGCAACAGCGCAAGGTCAGGTGCGAAAATGGACAATATCGTTCCACTTCATAAAGTACCTCCATCACAAAGGGTCAAAATTTTAAATAAATATAACTCTTATAAAATGTGAAATAAGAGCCTGATTGTATTCGAATTTCACACATATCAATATTTTTATTAACCCAAGGTCTGGTGTAAAGATAGGATTTATCGGTCTACTCCTTCTGGTACCTTCCTAACAAAGCGGCAAAATTTTGAATATCCACGAAACACAATAAACTTAAAATTATCATCCCATTCCTTTCACGTTTTCCACATCTCAGTGTTCTCTCAAGACAAGATATGTTATAAAGATTGTAGAGATCGGAAAAATTCCTTCTGGTACCTCCTCCACAAAGAGTCAAAGTTTTGAATAACCGAAACGATTATAAAATCAGAAATAAGAATACGATTCTCTTCATTTTTCACACTTCCTATTATTTCTACTAACAGAAGATCTACTGTGAAGATGGGATATATCGGTTCACTCCTTTTGGTAACTTCCCCACAAAGGGTCAAAATTTGGAATAGGCATAAAGCTTTGAAAACGCGAAATTAAGATCCGATTCCATTCAGACTTGCAACATGTAAATATTTCTATTAACACAAGACCTGTTATAAAGATGCTATAGAACGGACCATTTCTTCTGGTATCTCCCCCACAAAAGGTCAAAGTTTTGAATAACCGTAACTATTATAAAATCCGAAATAAGTATCCGGTTCTCTTAATATTTCACACATCCCATTATTTAAATTAACAGAAGATGCACTGTGAAGATGGGATATATCGGTCTACGCCTTCTGGTACCTCCCCCACAAAGGGTCAAAATTTTGAATATTCATGAAACTCATAAAACGCGAAATTAACATCCGATTCCATTTGGATATAATGTTCGATTTTCTTGTAATTTTGCCCATACCAATATTTTTATCTGTATTAAAATTATCACATATCTCATATGAAGTATAGGAGGTAGTTGATAATGTCCAAACCTGCCACGTCACAATATTTATATCATATTTATTTAGCTCCGATACGAAATGGACAATATTGGTTCATTCCTTCGGAACCTACTCCACAGAGGGTAAATAATTTGAATAATCATAACAGAAGTCAAAATATATTTAAATAATCGAACAGTGGCTGAAGGCATACGTCTGTCGGCAAAACCGACTGATACTTCTTAACTTGTTTTAGTTGAGAATTATGTCTTCCTAAATTGTTTGACTCGAAAATCCAAATTTATGAAAGTACAACGGAGTATTTATACCCTACACCACAAGGTGGTCAGGGTATTATGTCTTTGTGCATTTGTTTGTAACAGGCAACAGGAAAATAGATAGACCCATAGTTCCTTTTGATGATCGGCATAGAATCACATTCTGAGTCGTTTGTAAACAAAGTACAGTTCGCATTTATTGCCCTATCCAGATGAAATTTTGCACAAATCATTTGTTTGGCCCAAGGACGAACCCTATTGAAATTGGAGATAATTGGTCAAAATTTAGATATAGCTCCCATATATATCTTCGTCCGATTTGCCTTTTATGGTGCACCAAACGTGTAATATCAGTCCGAATAGTATGGAATTTTGCATGTACGATCAGGTTGGACCTGAAAATAAGTATGCCAAATTTGATCGAAATCGGTTCAGATATAGCTATAGCTCCCATATATATTGTTCATCCGATTTGTTATTTTTGTCCTCCGCAGCTTTAATATGCACTCTGTAACAACAATATTTGGGCAAATATATCAAATACAGCTCAGAAATACATTTGCTAAATTTTATCGAAATCGGTTCAGATTTGGATATAGCTCCCGTATATAACTTCGTCCGATTTATCTTTGATTGTGCACCAAACGTCTAATATTTGCCCAAATTGGATGAAATTTGGCACTTACGACCGAATTGAGTCTAGAAGCTAGTATGTCAAATTTGGTGAAGATCGGTTCAGATATAGCTATAGCTCCCATATATACTGTTCATCCGATTTGTCATATTTGTTACCCACAGCCGTAATATGCACTCCGTAACAACGATATTCAGGAAATATATCAAATACAGCTCAGAAATATCTTCGCCAAATTTTATCGAGATCGGTTTCTATTTGGATATAGCTCCCATATATATTTTTATCCGATTTCAAATTACAATTACAAGTCCGAGTTTAAAAGATACAAATGCTTCGGTATATTTAGTCCTTTGAACTTTAAATTATAATTATAATCATAGCTTGTATGATTGAATTCTCCCATAAAAACTTTTAATTGTTATGCGGAGCTCTACTAAATTAGCAAAGTGGTGTAGGGTATCATAAAGTCGGCCCAGCCCGACTTTAAGGCTTTCTTTACTGGTTTTGGGTATCATTTATTGGTCACTGCGATTCGATCGATTGTCGAATCGTGTTAGAGAAAATTTTCAATATTTTTTTTTAGTTCGGAATTCTATGATTATTTTTATTGACCTAAGAGTAGCAAAATTATTGTAGTTTAAGCTGCCAAGTTTTTTTTTTTCTATTGCAAGCGGTATTTTGTTCTCTCTATAGAGTAGTAATATGATACCTTGTAATGTTTAGAAAATCAATTAACCAATGACTCATACCATCAAATTTTATGGAATGTACATATCATATTTGTTTTTGTTTTCATACTACTCCATTACATACATACTGACATACATACAAACATATGTGTAAATATCCACATTTAAAATCTGAAAAAAAAATGATTTTTTTTACATTTCATAACGTTTGATGTTGTCGTCCATTGTAATCAATTCAAATCAATCGAAACTGCTTTTGATGTTTTGTCTCATGTGTCTCAGACTTAGACAAGTGTCATTTCATTGTCATGTGGCAATCTCCTCTGCTGGACCATAGCCGCCATGGAACACCAAAATGCTTGCTAAAATAATCTAATTTTGTTTCCTTCTCTTTTTCTTCTGAAAAAAAAAGAAAATTCTTCATTTTCCTTTTACTAACCCTTTGAGATAATTTCCGATTTAGCTCCTTTACTAAGTTTCTGACACCCCTTTTCCCCATTGGAAACATTGGGATTTCCATGGAAGCTTAAACCCTAACTCTTAAAAGTCTCTAGTTTTTCCTTCATTTCTTCCTTATGCGTTTAATTTTAAAGGGCTCTAATCTTTCTTCCCTTACAAAAAAAAAAAAAAATTATGCAATAAAATTCTAAACCCCAATTCAAGGAGAAATTAGTTTCCCAGTTCTTTTTGCATCTATGATTTTTCTTCTTCTATTTCTTCTCATTTCTTCTTATCCTCAAAACATTCTATAAAAAATCGAAAAACCAAAAAACCAAAAAAAATCACATATATTTAAAATTATGTATTTTTCTTGTGTAAAATTGAAATTTATATATATATAAACATATACCTATATATTGATATTTGATGTTTGTTTAATTATTTTTAATATGTGTGTACTTTTATATTGCTGCATTTTTCTCATAAACAATTTTTTTTCTTTTTTTCTTTTTTCCATATACTCGTTATACTCGTATCAAACCAAAAAAAAAAAAAAAAACCAATCTCTAATTATCAATTATCGCACCATTCAAACTGTAAACCAAATCTAAAAAAAATAAAACCAACCACCACCTACCACTTCAAAAATTAAATTCGATAAAAATTGTCATCATTCAACATCGCCACCACACCACCAAAACAACCACTATCTCTCTACTTATATCTGCCACACCACCTTAATAATTAAATCAGAAGGACTAAAACCAAACGCATTATAACCAACCAACCAATCAACATCTAACCAAACGTTCGTTGCGTGTTGCATTGCTTAACAGAAACCGAAACAGAAACAAAAGCAGGCTGTCAGAACTCACCAAAATTACAGATAATTAAACAAAAAAAAAAAAAAAAAATCATAAGGAACTCATTAGTGTGGCACACATCAAACGAAACAACAACAACAACAAAAGAACTCGGAAGGATCACATCATTAACTGAGAAAAGGCACAAGAGAACAAAAGTTAGCCAAAGAGAGTCAACAAAGAGAAAGAAAAACAAAAAACAGAAAACAAATTTTGAAGTGGTTATGAAAAATTGCCATCAACAAGTTTAATAGCTGGCGGCAAACAGGATCAAATCCCAAAAGCATCATCCATACCATACTCAGAGATTTTATTAGCAATTTGGAGTAACTGAAGTGAGGGGCAAAGCCAACAGAGAAAAAACAAGTCACCCAGGCCAATCAAATACGTGTAGCTAATTTTTTGTGTTTTTGGTTAAATGCTTATTACGCTCTCATCATTGCTGTAAATCAAAACCTATAGCTCTTGCCACAATCTTTGTCGCCAAACCAATCAATCAGTCGCTCTCTCTCTCTCCTATCTCTATATAAATTTTTCGCTCTGTTGTGACGATTAAACATCTCAAAACAGTAACAGAAAACCATCCCAAAAATCAAAAATAAAATCAAGCAAAACAACACCAAAAAAATCCACCACAACCACCAAACACCACCAACCACCACCGTCAGAGCTATTTGAATCATCAACCAAATCAAAAAAATCAAAAAAAAGCAAAAAAACATTTCAAAACAATCGCCCAACCAGAGAGGTTAGCTAAACTCGTTTCTCTCTCGCCATCGTTATCGTTAAAACCATCAAAATTCCCATCATAATGGCCGAAGACGCTACCATGGAAACTTGCCCCAGCCCTGAAATTGGTGACTCTAGAAAAAGACCACTCGATACCGATCCAGAAAATGAACAATCCAAACGCTCCCATTTCAGTTCTGGTAAGTTTTTGTTTTGTTTTTTTTTTCTTCTTCTGTTGTTTTCTGTTCAGTTCAGTTTGTTCTGAGAGCCGGCAATGAAACGGGCTCTCGTTTTTCTCTTTCTCTCTTTTGATATGATTTCTTTCTCTTTAGTACAAAACAAAAAAAATCTCTCTCTATCTATCTCTCTCTCAATCAATCAATCATTGATCGTTTCATTTACTCTCACTTTATATATCAATCGATTTATCTCTCTCTCGTTATCATTTGATATTTTGTATTTTGTTTTCCTTTATTATTTTCATTGACAGAAAAGCTCTCTTATTATATATTTAATAATATTTTTACCAAATATAAATATCTAAAAAAAATCATGATATAACATTTTCTTATAAATATATATATGTGTATTTGTTTTATTACTATTATTATTATGGATCAACAAATCAAATCAATCAAATCAATCAAACAACATATTGCCGTCTATATTTCTCTAAAAATTCGCTCTCGCCCTCTCTCTCTATATATATGAAACTACATTGCAATTACTCAAATTTCTCTCAGCGAATTGTTATTATTATCTATTCGACATGATGCGCATCATTTAACTCTCGCTGCATAATCAACCAATCAATCAATCAATCAGTCTGTCAATCAATCAATCGATCAATCAGTTAATCAAGATCAACTCTACAAGTCCTTTCATGCTCCAGATCAGCTCAATCGTTGTCAGTGTTTTCGTGTCATCTTTGTGTTCTCATATTGTTCTCTTTTTTTAACGCTTTTTAAGCTTTAATTATTTTGGTTTAATTGTCAAGATAATTTGTTTTTTTTTTTTTAAGAAATTTAAGGTTTTAAGATATATTGTTTAATTAAAAATAGTTAAATAAAAGTATGTAATTTTTTTTTTATCTGTGAAAAACATAATTTTTATTGCTCAATAAAATTTGCCTAATAGTATGCAGCTGATCGTTTATTTTAATAACAAAAGAAGAAGAAGAAAATCTACAGTTGGAACCAGTTATAAGTGTACTTTAATAAAGTAAAGTGTAATTTATTATCGAGAAATATTTGTTTTTCTAAAGCTGGCCCGGATACCTCTAATGAGCGTAATTCTCTCCACACTCTCAATCAGAATCATTGAAAAACAATGCAACTTTCTCTCCGGTCATAAAATTTAAACCAGCCTTGCTCACAATACATACCTAGTAATGGTGAGAAACTCTCCCGCCCAATGAAAATCGAGAGAGAATTGTAAATAAAAATCGATAGAGAATACATGTGCTTTGTTTATACTTTTTCGTTCGAAGATGGCCATAGCTGATTTGAGCAGATATGATTAATATAAACTGGTGCTCTCCCTCTCTCGATAAACATGTGACACTCATGAGAACAAGTTTAGTCCTAAGAGTTAACACAGAACAATAATTTTGTGTGTGTGCTCTCACCAAATGCCCATTACAGGGTGAGATAAAAAAAACTGCAACAAAGTCAAACGCAACAATTTTTACATTTTTTTTTTTTAATTTTTGAATGAAAGCAAACAATGTCGGAAATATAATCAAATTTTAGAATAAGTTTCGATTTGTTCGAATTGGTCAACTTTGGAACGAATTATGGCCTTCAAACGGCCAATGAAACCCGAATGTTGCTCTGCGGTATTTTGGCCCATTCCCGGCGAAGCGCTTGCTTGAGCTGATCGACACTGTGGTATTTTTTTAGTGCCAACCTTGCTCTTTCTAAAATACTCCAGACACAGTAGTCCAACGGATCCAGAGATTTTGATGGCCACTGTGCGCTGGAAATGGAGCGAGTAACCCCATTTTGTAACCAGTTTTGGGTAGCGCGTGCTGAGTCCTTTTGGAATGTCCAAGGTCTGCGGCCAAAATGTTTTCGTGCCCAAGGCTTTAATACACCCTCCAGAATATTTTCGCGATAAAATTCGTCATTTATTCTGATGTCACGGTCGAATAATACGAGCAGAGAGCGACCATCGGCTGTTATGGCGGCCCACACCATCACCATGGCCGGCGCTTGAGTTCTGGTGGCCAACCGAAGGTGCACATTTTCAGCTGAGCTCTTTGGCAAGTAAACACGATCATTTTGTTTTCTCATCGGAAAAAAACCAAATTCGGCTGTTCACCACTTTCGGCCAAGCGAAGCAACTCTTGGGCTCTTTTAAGTCTATTTTCTTTCTGTTGCGGTGTAAGTTTTTGCACTTTTTGGAATTTCAATGGCTTCACCCCGAGCTCATTTTTCAATATTTGCCGAATGGCATATTGCGATATCTTCAACTCACGAGCCATTTTTCGGTCACTACGACGCGGGTTTCGATCAAGTCGCTTCTTTACTTGTGGTTTTCCAGACAAATATAAAGAAATCGCACTATCACGCATGAATTCGATCCCCAATAAATTTTTTTCTGGAGAATTCTCACCAAGTTGCTTTTATACGCTTGTAAACTACATAATGAGCTGTCACTGGAATAATTTTAATAGCTGTCGGACGAGTGACTTTGAAATGACAGTAGTCTGAATTTGGTTGCAGTTTTTTCATCTCACCCTGTACAAATATTGTTGCTCGGTGAGAAACGAGACCATTTCTCTTAGATATTTCAATGAAAGATGGAAGACAAGAAAGTCTATTTCTAGGTGATCTTCTCTCATAGAAGAGCAGAAGGTGGTCCTCTCTCATAGAAGAGCAGAAGGTGGTCTTCTCTCATAGAAGAGCAGAAGGTGGTCTTCTCTCATAGAAGAGCAGAAGGTGGTCTTCTCTCATAGAAGAGCAGAAGGTGGTCTTCTCTCATAGAAGAGCAGAAGGTGGTCTTCTCTCATAGAAGAGCAGAAGGTGGTCCTCTCTCATAGAAGAGCAGAAGGTGGTCTTCTCTCATAGAAGAGCAGAAGGTGGTCCTCTCTCATAGAAGAGCAGAAGGTGGTCTTCTCTCATAGAAGAGCAGAAGGTGGTCTTCTCTCATAGAAGAGCAGAAGGTGGTCTTCTCTCATAGAAGAGCAGAAGGTGGTCTTCTCTCATAGAAGAGCAGAAGGTGGTCTTCTCTCATAGAAGAGCAGAAGGTGGTCTTCTCTCATAGAAGAGCAGAAGGTGGTCTTCTCTCATAGAAGAGCAGAAGGTGGTCTTCTCTCATAGAAGAGCAGAAGGTGGTCTTCTTTCATAGAAGACCTGAAGGTGGTCTTCTTTCATAGAAGAGCAGAAGGTGGTCTTCTTTCATAGCAGACCAGAAGGTGGTCTTCTTTCATAGGAGACCAGAAGGTGGTCTTCTTTCATAGGAGACCAGAAGGTGGTCTTCTTTCATAGAAGACCAAAAGGTGTTCTTCTTTCATAGAAGACCATAAGGGGGTCTTCTTTCATAGAAGACCAAAAGGTGTTCTTCTTTCATAGAAGACCAAAAGGTGTTCTTCTTTCATAAAAGGCCAGAAGATTAAAACCTCAAGCTCTCATAGAAGACCACAAGATCTTCTCATTATTCTAATCTATTCTCTCCATATTCATGCAATTCCATTTGAGGGGTTATCCGTCAAGGATTCAAAGTGAACTCTTTTTCCCTTAAAATTCTTTTATTCTATTCCTCACGATTGTTTTTTTTTTTTTTTTTTTGTATATATTTTATTTCATTTCAAAACCTGACGTTGTGTATCTTATTTCATTCTGTCATTGTGGGTCTGTTTCACATTTTTCTCTTTGTATGTGTGTTTGCTGACTTTCAAAGGGATAACAGGAAAAAGGAAACGAGCTAATAAACTTAAATACACAAAGTCATTATAAACTCTTTCTTTTCCAGCACATTTACAGGATATAATGTAAAGAAGATTAAAATGGCTGAAAACGAAAATGTAAACAATGAGATTTGGTCAGTGACATAAAGGGGGAGGGGAGAGGGTGACATTTTTCAAAACATACTTTCATATTTCACACGGTGCACACACACACATAACTAATTACATTATAAACAATGGGGTAATGTAATTATAACACTTGCACACATTATGCTGACCCACCATTACTGGCTGGCTCTCTTTCTCTCCCATTCTCAAACTTCCTGTGTAAACATGTTATTATTAAAAAAAAATTTTTCCCTACCCAAAAAGCCAAAGCCATTAGAAGTTCCAACAAAACTGGCCTGGTGCCTGGCTCTACTCCCAACATCACCATCATCAACGTCGTCATGCAAATAATGATGGCGTGTGGATATAATTTTTTCATCATTTACACGCATAATGATATCCTTGCAGTTGGTTGGGGTGTGGAGGGAGAGTATTACAAACTCATTTTATGCCACATCTGAAATGAAGCCACATTTGTTAGCTCCGTGTGTATGCAGGTGTGTGTGGGTGGGGGGGGGGGGGGGGGATTTTCTTTCTAAAGAACCAAGTGCGATTGGGGGCCAAACAAATGTTCATCTAATTTTGTAAAACTGAAAATGAGAAGAAGCAAAGAAATATCCTCAAAAAAAAAAAAAAAAAAGCAAACACACTATCAAAGCCACGAAGCCCTTAAAACTTGAAGGACTTCTCTGTGGTGTGATTTCAACTACACAGCTAACTTCAATGGATGTTACACGCATACCATGATGCTGATGAGTAAAGTGGAGAGAAAAATCAACACACACACACAAAACAGAATGACCTATTTACCCCTTTTTGGTGAACATGTGGGGTATGGGGATGCTGTTTGATGTCCAAAGGAATAAAGAGAGAGAGATAAAGAGTGGGGGAAAAGAGTTATTGTGTAGAAAGGCCATGTGTTTACATGTTCCTTCTACCCATAATGCTGACTCTGTAGCACTCCAAACCGTTTGGTTTAGGTTAAGTGATAACCTACAAATGTGGCAGTAGTTGTATTGAAATAAGAGAGACCCCCTTTCCGGCCCACCTAAGGCAAACATTAACAGGACAATAGGTTCCAAAGAAATGGGCCTCTTCTACCCCAATTCAAAGCCAAACATTTTTAAGGGTTCCCCCCTAAAAATCTTAGATGGTGGCCTGGATTGCAGAAAATTCTGCCAT